GTGCAGTTGGAGCTCACTGAACCGTAGCAGTTTGTTGTGCTTAAGCACTTTGCTCATTGCGCTGTCCCCCTCATTCATTCATCTGCCATCAGCTGTGTGTGTGTGTGTGTGTGTGTGTGTGTGTGTGTGTGTGTGAGAGAGAGAGAGAGCCTGTGGGTCTCTGTTAGTGTGCATTTATCTGGTCTGGGGAAATTCTTTGTTTTTCAGATTTTATAGAACAAGAGCAGGAGAGACACAGTGTGATATATTAAAGCATGTGATGAGTTACTGGTTTGAGGGAAGGTGTAGTTGGTGCATATTACATTTCCATCTTATGTTGTTGTGATAGATCACTGAAAACAAGAAATGAGAAAACGTATTTATGAAAATGTATATGCTTGCTGTCCTTAAGTTTACATTTTATCTCCAGTGTTGGACCGGTGATGTTGATTTTTATGAATCTGAAAAATCCTCTTCACTTAGTGCCCATTAGATTACAAAGGGCCTGTGCGCTTGTGATGCACAAATAAACACTCTAAGCTACTCGGTAAATTAGCAAAATAAAAAGTGCCTGTGTGAGCAGTGCGCACTCGTATATGAATGTGTGCACAGTAAATGAGTCCATTAGCGCTGGCAATGGCCGCCTGTGTAGCAAGCGAGTGAGCATGTGTATGTAATTTTACATTCAAGTGTCTCTTAATGATTTCCAGTTGTGTGTGTGTGTGTGTGTGTGTGTGTGTGTGTGTGTGTGTGTGTGTGTGAGAGAGAGAATGTGTGGTGGTGTGTTGTTTTTGTGTCTGTGCCTATGATGAATGGAGTGATTAAGTAAGTGTGATTCTGAGTGTGTGTGTACATTAGCCTGGGTGTGAGTTACTGGCCTCTGTCTGCATCTGCAGTGTGACAAATGTATAGCTAGTGTTAACTTTTGTGTACACGCTGCAGGTGTGTATCAGCATACTGACCAAGAAACAAAATGAACTCTCTCTGTGTGCGTGTGTCTTTGTGTGTGTGATTAGAGTGATAGCATGATATATTTGATGGCGTGTGTGTGTGTGCTGTATTATCTCTGGCAGGGCGTGTGCAGGGGGCCTTGGGGCGACTGTGTGCAGGAGATAAGGGTGATTCATCTGTGTTTAAATGTGTGTGTGTGTGTGTGTGTGTGTGTGTGTGTGTGTGTGTGTGTGTGCGCAAGCAAGAGCATGTTTGTGATTCAGAGGCATGTGTGTCCATGTTTGTTCCATGCATGCAAGCATTGGACCACACACTGTAACTGCTCATGTGGTTACATACTGTGTCACACCTGGGTGTTGTTGAGTGTGTGTCTGTGTGTGTGTGGGGGGAGTAGGCATCCATATTAACACACGTATATTTCAGTCTCTCCAGAGTACGTCTTGTGTTATGTTACCTCACCGAGGTTGATGGATAGATGGTGTGTATTTGTATTGATTGCAAATATATAAAAAATCATGGCGGCAGACCTCTTCAACACAGAGTTGCTTCTTTCTCTTCAGAGATTCAGCGGCGGTTTGAAGTTTGATCTTTACTCATTTCTGCCACTCAGTATTAGAAGTCACAGGAATAATATAGAAAGAAAAAAGAGAGTTTGGGAGTCTAAACTAAACTAAATATCACAACAAACCAAGTAGGGTAGGTGCTCCTTAAAGCAGCACTTCAATTATTTTTATTTGAAACATGAGTCAAACGACTGAGTAATATGACAGGTGCCGCTCATAGTGACAAACCCACAGAGAATTACCATCTGACTCTGCGCTTTCCTTCAGTTCCATGGACTGTTTTAGCATCTTTCTGTTCATTGTTTTGATTTTCCTGGATGCAACATGCTGTTTTGATTCTCTCTTTACTCTCACAGCTCTCATCAGCCTTGTTTCTCGACCAAAACAGGCAATATCAGTAGCTACTAGTAGTAGGCAGCAGTTTTTGGAGAAAATGCTCTGCCATGTGGTTAGCGGCTAGCAGGTGAACATAGTAAAGCGTTTAGCAATTAAAGTTGGTGAAGATCATAAATAGAACTAAAAGGAGAGTGAATATTGGACCTTGAATTCGCCTGTTGGAAATACAAGTCAGTTGCTTTGTATCCACTGGATGTAGAAAAAACATTTTCTAACATGTTAGCCAACCTAAACAGTCAGCTTCTTTCTGCTGCCCCCAAGTGGCCAAAAAGAGTTTTAATTTGACCATCATCATGAACCTGTAGGTAAATAGGACTCAGGATCCTTCCAAGAGGTCCCAAAAAGAAAATTGACATATATAAAATTTTGTTATTTTGCTTTGTTTGTGACATACAGCATGCTTTCACCTCTCCAGGGCTCTAAAACCCTTCAAATGAAACAGTCAAGAAAACTCATTCTAGATCAGATCATTGGACTTAAATGGCAGTGTGCAACTTTATCCATGTAATTGATATGAACAACTTTTTGTTTTAAATGTCTTAAGCTTCATCACACCACTTCTCAAGTAATGAATGATTATGCCCATCTTTTACAATTTTAGAACATTTGTAACATTTATTTATTTATTTAGCTGACGCTTTTATCCAAAGCGACTTACAATTGCTATACATGTCAGAGGTCGCACGCCTCTGCAAGGAGGCGTGAGGTTAAGTGGACAGGGACACAATGGTGGATGTCTCACAGTGGGAACCGAACCTGGGTCTCCCACAAGGCAAGCATCTTATCTATGCGCCATGACCACCCCACCCTGTAACAACTTTTAAAGATCGGTTTCAGCTCACATTTTGCCAAGGAACCAGAGAAGTTATTAAAGCCAACTTTTGGAAGATCCAGTTTGGTAACTGGAGTGGATTTAACACTTTAAACTGCTGAAAGACTGATATGTTGAAAAGTCAACCTCCTTATAGTGTAGCATAGCGGCCGCCAGTCGGTTTGGTGCCAAGAAATACAAGAAAAACAACACATTGAGCCCATGCCAGTAGGCTATATTATTATCTTCATTCGAACTAATTGCCAGGCCAAACAGCGACACATGCACACACAGGCTTCAACAACCACTCACCATTAGGGACTTTAACTGCGGTGTGCCATCCCTGTTGTCATGACAACAAGGCACGGAATTTTGGCTTGGAAACTGTCACATAGTGTAAGAGGGATTTTTCAGAGGCACAAAGGTTTAAAAGGTTTTAACGATTTGTGCTTGTAGTGAAATGCACGATTAGGATTGTCGGGGTGAGCACCACCGCGATAAGAAAGGCCTCAGGCTTTTTTTATTCTTGGTTCATCTTACATGATCACCTTATGTGCCTTGAATGATTCCCTTATTTTCCTGTTTCCATCCTTCCTTATACTTTATGAGAGTGTTTGACATCTGTGATCATCTCTTTTTTATTAAACTCATACACTCTCTGTAACATGCTATTGGGCAGGCAACACGTCACTTGCAGGATTGCAGACAAACAACCCCGTGGTTTTATCCTGACTCTATTTGCATTGCATATCCTCTGTAGGTCTTTTTATCTTTAAGACCATTGGGTCTGTTTGTGAGAGTGAGTGTGCTTTGTAAGCATGTGTGTCTGCGTGTGTGTGTGTGTGTGTGTGTGTGTGTGTGTGTGTGTGTGTGTGTGTGCCGTCAGCTAGCAGGAATGCATTCGTACCGCCAAAGCTAAGATGGCTGCCAAGCGCTAAGATGGCTGCCAGGATTCCACAGAGCGACAGCACGAGAGAGAAAGTGATGCAGAGACAGAACGAGTATGAGAGGAATTGAGGGAGAAAGATGTAAAGATGGACTCTCACTTCCTCAGAACGGGGGGAAAGTGTTGCGGGAAAATAGAAACTCTATCCTTGTGTGTCTTCCCGTCTTCTCTTCGACCCAGAGTGATGAGGTTATTTTGTTTGTTTCTTTTTGTTTTCTCGGTTTTGGCAACTCACAGACAGGGTGAATAGTGCAGCAGTTTGCTGGCATGTCGTCCACTAATGCCACCCAAGATTAGGACACTGATTTGGGCTTAGAAAATGTTGAGATTGGGGGGCTTATTACTGGCTGCAAGGGGGCCACGTTCTGGCAAAGGAGACTTGGCCCAGGACGGCCTTAAAGCTTCAGTGCTGTGGGGTAATTGGCCTGAATGGTATATATGATACAACCATAAAACTCTACAAGGCTGCATTACGCATCAGAGGAAGAATGGTAGCCAGCGGGCCAAACAAAACTAGCTGAAGCAGGCAGCTCTCTGCCTTCCTGCCCCTATAGATGTTAAGGTAAACACACACTAGAGATACAATCCAAACAATGCCTAGAACCCTAAGTACATTAGCCCTCAAGTTACAAAGTGGCAGTGAGAAGCTGAGGTTTCTTGGGACCTTTAACACTTAACCCAACGTACTCTTTCAAAGGCCTTTACTAAAACAGCATGTATGTTATGTCCTTCGGGGAGAAAAAGGTATAGAAAGAGAGAAAAGTGGTTTTGTCAAAGTAAACTCAAACAGGAGACCCACTCCAAAAAATCCTCGAAACCCAGAAATGTACACTTTACCCCTAAAGTACCCCTCAGCTTACAAGTCAGCAGTGGAAAGCTGAGGTTTCTTAGGACATCTAGCACTTTACTCAACCTACTTTGTCTAAGGCCTTCACTAAAATAGTGTGTGTGTATGTTTGAATGGGTGGGAGTTCCTGAAAGAGAGCTATAGAAAGCTAAAAAGAACAAGTCTAAATGACACTCGAAACTGAATTGTCTTTTGACACTTTTCCCAGTAAGTCTAGAATGTACATTTTCCCACAGTGACGGACTTCAGAAGTTAGGATATTAACGTTTTGATTTGCCATTTTATGGCTTTCAACTGAAGTTCAACCTGAGCGGAAAAATGCGGCTAACTTTTATCTCAGCCCCATGTCTGTGTCTTTTACGTGGAAAGAATGAAAGAAGGCGCCATTTCCCATCGATTTTATGACGAGTTCCCCATGATGCTAACCTGCTCCCTCACCTTGGGTAGTGTCCATACATCTGTCCACCTCACTAACCGTCTCTCTTTCTCTTTTTTCTTTTCCCTCAGAACAATCAGGACAATCAGACAACACAAACCAGCAAGGAGATGCAGACGTCAAGCCCCCACCAAATGGTTAGTTTATGAGTATGACCCGTTTGCACACACACACACATATGCGTGCATAAAATATTTGACATACCTGTGCCTACATGCCTACATCACTCTGATACAGACGGTAACACACATGCACACACACTGTGTACATACACCACCCCTACATACAGGCCTCTCTGTGTGCGAGTGTGTACCGCCAGAGTTGGGTCTAAGTTTATTATGGTAAGGAAAGCTGATGGTACTGTAGCGTGGGGGTTGTGCTGGGATTGTGGCGGGCCACTCATAAATCACACTGACGTTATTGGAAGATGGGAACCACATGGCCGCTGCCGAACTGAGCACTGACCTCATGCGCCATGGGATGAAGCGAATGAGACAGAGAGATGGAGAACAGGAGAAAAGTGAAAGGGGGTTTGAAAAAAAAATAGGATGGGGAGGGGGGTTAAAGAAGGGATGGACAGATAGAGAGAAGGATGCAATGAAGGAGGGAGGAAGTGTCATTTAAACACACACCGCATAGATCTGAAAAACCTTGCTTGGGGAACTAACAGAACTTCAGGGCACACTAGGCACCTACTTTATTTTCACAGTTGAGACTGAGGTGTGTGTGTGCTTTTGTACCTCTATCCTCCGTCCAGCTTTGGATAATTCTGACAATTTTGACGATTTTAGCTAGTTTATTCACTCACAAATGTAGGCCTTCATAATGGGTTTAGGAAAAGACAGCATAATGTGAAGGCTAGGCTAAGGGTTAAGGGAAAGGAGTTAGCAATTAATTTTGGAGTTAGACCTTCAGTGGTCAAACTGATGTTTTGGCAAAATGGAGGGATCAGAAACAAACTGTGAACACAGTGCAGCCATCCAGTTGACACAGAGCTATATTAGCATTCACTTGTACTCATGCTTCTGGTCACCTGGCAAATATAGTTCTGTTTTTGGTCTCTTTGATGTCGTGAGAAAGATATTTGGCTCCTTAGCTGCTAAATATTCCACAGTGAGTGTATTGAGGGTTTTTAGAGAGTAAACCAAAACAGTAAATGTCTGGGCTGTTGAGCTGAAAGATGCTAAACTGGGGGACTAAGAAACTGCACGTTCAGGTAATAATTCTGTTGGTTCGTCGCTACAAGCGAACCCTTTTACACACAAGCAGTCATGTGATCCAATCCTTAATATGAAAATATATATGATTATAGTCAGAATAATGTGGGGACAAGTATTTAGGTTTAAAACTAAAATTGAGGTTAGATTTAGGCATAAATTCAAGTTAGGGGTTGATGGTTAGATATAAGGGTTAACAAGGATTATTACAACTCAGCTCTTCTTTTTATATGTTTTGCCATCATTCTTATCAGTAATGATGGTGTTATTTGTACTCGCTACAATCTGGGAACACTGGGACATAGCTAAAAAAGAAGTCAGACAGCGCAAGAAAGACAAGCAGTCAGAGACCATTGTAAAGGTTTTAAACAAAATCCCCAGATTAGCCAAAGCTTTTTTGCAAGCTAAAACATAGGTGAACAGTCAAAAGACTTCCCATTGGAAACATCCATCACAGTTTGTACACCAATTTCCTGATTCAACCTTTACCTATTGTACTTGCCATAGTGATGAGCTCACTTTGGGTTTTACCTAAAAGATAGATAATCTGGCTTGTTTACAACCCGTCTGCACACGGCGACTTTGTTGTAGCGATGTCTTTGTGTTCAGATCTCAGCAATAACTTTGTTGAGTACAGTGTATCATCATCAGTCAGATCTGACAGAGTTGATGGCCAAAGACATGAAATGAACACGTGTTTATCAGCTCCCTCTCCGTGTGTGTGTGTGTATACTGATATGTCTGTCTGCATGTG